CTACTGCAGCCTGGTGTACTAAGAAAAATGAAAGGCAGCAGCTGTCTCCCTGAACATGCTGCAATCTAAATTGCAGTGAAACAGCAGCTCTTGCATTAAATGCTCAGCAGCAGGATCCCACAGCTGGCCCCAGAAGCGCTGCCTGCCAGGGGCTGAGATCTCCATTCTGACACACCCTGCAAATCAGACGGGCTGGAAGATTGCAGGGCAGTAACTGTATGAACACAGCCATACATTTCATCCGCGTTATCTAGCAAGTCTCAAGAAACAAACGTCATTTAAGCCTGTCTTGAGACTATATTCTACAAAATAGCAAGAAACAAACGTCATTTAAGCCTGTCTTGAGACTATATTCTACAAAATAGAACAAGCAATTGTTTTGGTGGCCTGTGTAATTTTTGGGGGCTGTGTATGGTTTTTTTTGTTGTTGTTGTCTTTGTTTTTAAATCGAAAATTCACTGGCTTCAGAAGAGCAAGCCCCAGATTCATTAGGATGAAGAACCGCACGGACGTATGTGGCTGACAAGAACACTCGGCATGTCTAACAGTAACACCAGAAAGACAGGAAAAAGTTAAAGGAGATAGACCTACCTGAAAGGATCCCAAATGTCTCGCTAACCTGTCTAGTGACTATTTTTCTGCTAAGCTCTAAACGTTCCTATAGCTATGAGGTAATTATCTGAAAGAAAGGAAAGGCAGAAAGCTGCTCAGCCTTTATTTTTTACCAGGACTGTCTCATGGGATTCTACCACAACTTTGACCACAAGAAAGGATGGCAAATTTTGACTACAGAGCATTCATAACCAGGCAGCATTTTTTCTTCCTTACTCAAGTCCAGTAAGGGTTTAAAAGGGAAAAATATACAAAAGGGGACTGAGGAAGTTGTGTCATACCTCTTAGGCGTGCGTCATCTATGGAGAAGAAGAAAACTCTAGCACTTTCTGTGCGTGGTAGAGAAAGAACCCTAGACAAGTACAAAGGGGTTTTAGCATCCTAAAAGGTCCTATCAAATCCCATGGGCACGAGTTAGAGCTGTAGTGCCTCAGAGAAATGGGATACACGGAAGAGCTTTCCTGCATAGTATGCAAATAAAGCCTTCTATAAAAAGACCCCACGTTTGACACAAAAACTGACTGTGTCTTTGCCTTGTGGCCAAACTCAGTTTGGGGTTGGCCAAACCAAAACAACCCAGTCCATTTCTTGTGCTCAGCTTCTCTCTCTTTACATTCAACTTCACATCCAATGGGCTGCTGGGACTCTGGACTCCACACAGCACCAATGGTTTTCCAAGATGACTTTCCTTGCTCAGAGGTGTGCAGTGTCAGTTTCCCATTTCCTCAGTGCTGCCACTAATATTCCCACAGCATCCAACTACTACAGCCAAGTAGACAACAAATACAAATGGAACTTGCCTTTCTTGGTGCTTTGCAATTTCTGACATCTCCGGCTCATCAGCACCCTCAGAAGTGATGTCTTGGAAATGTGAATCCTCTTGCCACGTGACTTTTTCCGGTTTTATCGTTCCAAGTATGTGAGGCCCTGCAAAACCAGCAGCAAAAGAGAAAGAAAGCCCAAACCAGATTATTTCTCTGCTTGCCAGGAAAAATTCCTTCTTTCAAGTGAAATATTTATACCGGGAAAGACAGATTTAGGAAGGACAGAATCTTCTCCTCCCTGATTTCCTGAGCTGTAGCTCTGCTCCAGGATCTTCCACTTTCTTCTAGGCATCTCCTATGTATTCTTAAATATTTATCATTGCATCCAGAAGACAGTGAATAGCTCCTGAATACAGCACAAGTGTGCTGGGCTTGTTGCTTTGTGTTGTTGCATTTTAATATTTTGGATAACTCGGCACGGTTTCCTTTCATTCCTACCTGACTGTGACTTGATTAAATATTCCTTCATCTTCATTTCATAAGGCCTCACTTTATCTGAGGTTAGGACACCCCAATGATCCTTCAGTGTCATTCAGTTTCCTTTTTCTGAAGGTCCAGGAATAGAATTTGGTAACTAACAGAATGTTCATGGAGCTTGGGGTCAACTCCAGGATTTTGCTCCTCCCTCTACCTTAACACCCATTTTCCTTAAAATCCTCTTGGGCTCTAGGTAACTTGGTATGACTGCTGTGTCACCTTTTTCCCTCTTTGAGAAGTTTAGGGCACAACAAGAAGCTTTTTCACCACTCTGCAAAAATCCCAATGCCTTCTCAAGGCGTGCACCTCGAAATTCCTGAGATGCAAGCAGGAGTTACCTCTCATTAATCTCCCACAACCTTGGCAAGTAGAAATGAAGATCAAAATACTTCTGCATAATTACTAACTTCTGCTGCTGAAAATCCTCTGGATTTAATCCTCTGGATTAAAATCCTCTGACCTTCTTCACACCATATTGCTCTACAGTGCCTGCCAGAAGCTGTTCCTTAGAAATGGCTCCGTTAGGAGGGTTCTGCTGTTACCTTCTTTGATGCCCAACTCCTCTGTGTCTTCAAAGAAGGAAAACTTGAAAGCACTCGACTCCTGAGTTCTGTCGTTTTCAGGCAAAGGTCCCAGACGTTCGTCTGGGGCAGAGTCCTGCGCATCCTCTTGGTCCCAGGCTATTTCCACTGTCTTTTCCGGTTTGACCTTTGAAGGTCCAAGCAAGTCTTTTAAATCAGCAGCAGTGTCGCAGTCGATTTCTCCAGACACTTGAGGCAGTGTCTCACTCTCTTCCTTCTCCCTCTGCTTTACTGAAGAAAGGTTTTACTGAAATGAGATTGATCAAGGATGGCAACACAGCCCACGGCCTTTTCAAAGACAGCTTCCCTAAGAGCCACCTTGCTCGTCATGTCTCCCTAAACGTATCCAAGCCATTAAGGACTGGTTCACTTTCAAGGGGAAGCAGTGGGGAAATATCTGTCTAAAGGCAGCAATGAGTGTCCTTTTTAATTAGCTATGTCCTCAGGTGGCTTTTCCCTTCACAATACATGGTAACATAGAAATCAAGGATCATAGAAATGCCAAGAGCTAATCTGGGTTTTCCACAGACCTGCAAATCTCAAGGTCCCTGTACTGACCCTTCTCACCTTCACTTACAGCCACAAACAGAGGGACTAGAAAGAGAAGATGACACTACGTGCTGCTGTTAGAGGTCCGAGTTGAGGCCCGACGTGGCTGGCGGGAGCGGTTGCTCCAGCGCGACGTCCCCGACGGTGTCCCCCTGCGCCTGGGCCTCTCAGCACTGGCTGCTGTCCTCCTGCTCCCGTCCTGCCGACTCCTGGACCGGACAGGTCGGTTTGAGGCCCGACGTTGCAGGCGGGAGCGGCTGCGTCTGGGGGACGTCCCCGAGGATGTCTCCCTTTGCCTGCGCCTCTCAGCATTTGCTGCTGTCCTCCTGTTCCTGTCCTGGAGACCGCTGGGCTGGACAGGTCGATTCGAGACTTGACGTGGCAGTCGGGAGCGGCTGCGTCTGGGGGCTGCCTGCGATGGTGCCTCCCTTTGCCTGGGCCTCTCTGCCCTCGATGTTGTGCTGCTGCTCCTGTCTCGGCGACTCCTCGACCGGGCAGGTGGACTCTGGGCCTGAGCTTCCTGGCGGGATCGGCTGAGTCTGGGGGCTGCCCGCGATGGTGTCTGCCTTTGCCTGGGCCTCTCTGTCCTTGATGTTCTCCTGCTGCTCTGGTCACAGTGACTCCTTGACCAGACAGGTGGACTTAAGGCCCGAGCTTGACAGCAGGGGCAGCTGCATCTGGGGGAAGCCTGCGATGGTGTGTCCCTGGGCCTGGGCCTCTCAGCCCTTGGTCTTGTCTCGCTGCTCCTGTCACGGCGACTCCGTGACCGGACGGGTCTATCTGGGGCCCGACTCTGCTGGCGAGAGCGGCTTCGCCTGCGGTCAGGCCCAGCACGCCTGGAATGGACCCTGTCCTCAGGGCCCATGGAGCTGCTGTGTCTTGGCCTTGATGTGCTTGGGCTGCTGCTGTCTGCCAAGGATGAGGCTGCACGCTGGGGGCTGCTGTGGCTGCTGGCCTCTGGAGATGGAGAACGGGGAGCCAGAGCCGATGACACCGGGCTGCTGGTGGGGCTGATGGCCTCAGATTCTGAGAGGCCCTGAGAAGATTCCAGTCCTGACTGTCCGGTCAGGCTGGGGCCATTGAGCTCTGGCTCATCCGTGGCAGCTGTAAGAGCAAACAGGAATGTCCGAGGCCTGCCAGGCCTGGAGCAGGCCATGCCCGACCAGAGCACTGCCCCCAGCCCTCCAGGAGCCCATGGGCTTTGCCGTGCCCAGCCTGACCGGACAGTCAGGACTGGAATCTTCTCAGGGCCTCTCAGAATCTGAGGCCATCAGCCCCACCAGCAGCCCGGTGTCATCGGCTCTGGCTCCCCGTTCTCCATCTCCAGAGGCCAGCAGCCACAGCAGCCCCCAGCGTGCAGCCTCATCCTTGGCAGACAGCAGCAGCCCAAGCACATCA